CTCTCCCCCCCGAGTGCACAAATTTTTGTGCACCGGGCCTCTAGTATAATATAAATATCATACATCTTTGTTTTACTATGGTTGCAAATATCAAAAAAATTCTGTATGTGACACGGCATCAGAGTTAAGTTAGGGTTTTTCAAAGTGCTGGCACGCCAAGCTCAAAAGGTTCACCATCACTGCTCTAGGCCAACTCCATCAGAACTATGATACCAGCTTTTACACATGCCCTAATGAATCTCCAAATCTCTAGCTCACTCTTCTTTCCTGAGCTTCTGACTTAAAAATTTGTGTGTGTATGTGTGTTTTTAAAAATAAGTTATTAGTACCTGGGCCTACTAAAACCATTTGAAACTGGATGTCTTTGAATTTACCTTTCCATCCCAAATCTGTTTTTCCAACTTCTTATACTGAACGTGGGCCCTAACTCATGGAAGGTTTCTTTAGGGCCTGGAGACAATAGATCTAAAAATGAATTCTCTAGGGTCCTAAAGTTTTTGGAGAATTTTCTAATTTTGTGTTTTCACTTTGCTGATAGATAGCTCAGTTGATTAGAGAGAGTGTCCTCTGGATATGCCAAGGTTGCAGTTTCAATCTCTAGTCAGATCGCATAGAAGAAGCAACCAATGAATGCATAAATAAGTGGAATAACAAATTGATGTTTCTCTCCCCCCCCCCACCTTCCCTCTCTCTCTACAATCAAATAAAATTTAAAAATATGTAAATAAATTAGTATGAGCACATTCTGGTTCATGTAACTGATTACCATACTATTGAAAATGTTTGTGCCTATATTTGCATATGAATTGTTGCTAAGTGATCATCCAAAGACCCACATGCATGGTAAATGACTCTGCTGCATTAATATCTGCCTTAGGTTGAAGTGTAGTAATTTAAAATTAAGAAAATCTGTCTTTGACTTTTGTACTCATACTGAATTATTTTGCCATTAAATTTTTTTTGTAGTGATAATTACAGGTAAAAAGTGTTTTTATAGAATTTCTAAGAAACTGAAATTTTATAAGGAAGCTTTTATTTGATATGAAAATGACACAACAATAGAGTAATGCACCATTTTAATTGTCACAGACTAATAAAAAATATATAGAATTTACATGTAGATTATGAGAAGGCCTTATAAGATGTCATGGTACACCCTGATGGGGTATTCATGCTAGCCTGAAAAGAGAAAATTGGTGGAAGATTTGACTAATCCTGTGGCCCAGTTGTGTGTGTGTGTGTGTGTGTGTGTGTGTGTGTGTGTGTGTGTGTGATTTCAGAGTAGAGAGGGAGAGAGAGAGAGAAATATCAACATGAGAGAGAATCATTGATTGGCTGCCTCCTGCATGCCCCCTACTGGGGATTGAGCCCACAGCCTGGGCACATGCCCTTGACGGGGATCGAGCCCACAGCCTGGGCACATGCCCTTGACTGGAAATGAACCCGCGACCCTTCAGTCTGCAAGCTGACACTCTATCCACTGAGCCAAACCAGCTAGGGTGCAAATACTTATTTTTGTGAGCAGTTGCATTACACAGAACCCTGTTTGTCTCTCTACATATCAACTTGTAGCATTTATTAAATAGTAGTAAGTGCTATGAATTTTCATTGAATATTTTAATTTTTAGAATTTTGTTTTGGGATATCCTAATAAATTAATTATTCCGTCAACATTAATAAAGCAGTGATTTAAAACCAGTTCATTGTTTATTAAAGGAAAGTAATGAAGATTATAAAATAATCTTGGACATCAACTGGAACAAATAATACATAAATAATTCTTTCTACTCTTTAACCCCAGCATTGGTGATTAGTTGTAGCAGTGTTATCTCACCTATTACTTTAAATGAATGTTGATTCCATTTTTATTGGCTGTATAATTTTTGCCAGTTTTAAATGATAAATTTTATTTTTTGGTGTAGAAGAGCTATAAAAAAAGTTAATGTCTTAATTTTATGCTTATACATACTAAGAAAGCACCACTTTAATATAAGGCAATGCTAGGGTCTGTAGAATTTTTTTCCCCCTCAGAAACGGTTTATATATTACCCTGTGTCTAGAAGACACTGTTTAGATAAATGAACTGAATAAGAGAAGCTTTAGGGTTAGAGTTATTGTTATAGTTAGTTAAATTTTTATTTAAAGTTTTCAGAATTGTTTTCTTTTTCACTTAGTCTGAAAGCTCTAAAAAATTCTATATTTTAATCCCTTACAGTTTTTCCTCCCAGTCTCATAATTTATCTCCATCCATCTTTAGGGGAAGTTCCTGTTTATTAATTTTGCATGTTTTGTTGGCATTATTAAGGAACAGTAAACTTTATCTCCTTTTCCCTTACTCTTCCAACAATAAAGAACAAACAAAATACACTATTCTATTATGTTCTTAGGAAAAAGTGTCTACTAAGTTTTGGTCAAAATTTTTTATAGCTTTATTGAAGCATTATTAAGGTACAACAAACTGCTTATATTTAAAATCTACAACTTGAGTTTTGACATGTAAGCACGTATGTAACCATCACCATCTATATCTATATATATAAAAACCTAAGCGACTGTTAAGACTAAGCGACTGGAACAACCAGACAAGAGGCCAATAGCCATGACGCGCACTGACCCAGACCTTGCTGCTGGGGCCCTGATAGCCCCGAATCTGGTTCACCCACACCCCAGACCCAGACAGGACGGAGGAGGGAGCTCAATTCCTCATGGAATCGGCCCTTGGTTAGCTTGCTGCTGGGGCCAACCTCCCGTGGTTCCTCCCTCTGGCTGGCTGAGAGATCCCACCCGTGCATGAATTTGTGCACCAGGCCTCTAGTAATTAAAATAAGGAACATTTACAGTCACTTCAAAGATCCCTCATATCTCTTTGTGGTTAGTTCCCTCCCTACCACCAGCCTGGAGCAAGCACTGATCTGCTTTCTGTACCACAGTTAGTTTGGGCTGCTCTAGATTTTCATATAAGAGAAATCATACACTAAATACTTTTTTGCCTAGCTAATTTTCGTTAGCATAATGATTTTGGGATTCATTCATGTGTACCAGTAAAATTGTTGAGTATGTTTTATGGCTATACCACAATTTTTTATTCCATTCACTCATTTGGATTAGTTCCAGGTTTTAGCTACTAATAAAGTTGCTATGAACATTCATGTAAAGTCTATGTATGGATATATGCTTTCATTTCCCTTGAGCAAAATACTTAGTAGTGGAATGGCAGGGTTGTATAGAGGGGGTTAAACTTTTTAAGAAACTGCCACACTGTTGCCAATTTAATTGAACTATTTTATAGTCCCATCAGCTGTGGAAGGAGATTCCTGTCGCTTCACATCCTTAATAACACTTGTTATGATCTTTAGCTATTCTAGCAGATATGCATAGTGGTTTCAATTTGCATTTTTCTAAGAACTAATTATTTTGAGCATGTTTCATGTGTTTCTTTTCCATGCATACATTTTCTTTGGCAAAAATGTTTAAATACTTAAGTGAATTGTCTTCATATTCAACTATAAGAGTTTTTTAATGTATTCTGAATACAAGTTATTTCTTGGATATACAGTTTGCATATATTTTCTTGTAGTTGGTAGCTTGTCTTTTAACTTTCTTGATAGTATCTTTTCATGAGCAAACTTTTAAAATTTTAATGAAGTCCAATTATCTTACTATTACTATGTGTATATTTTGGACACCTTTATTTTAATCTATTTGGCTGATAAATTGATCTTTTTTGTTAGGCAAAAGGAATACACAAAGGTAGAAGACATGCCTATCTGTTGTAGAGCCTTTTTAGTTTCATAGGATAAAAATCAAGAAAAGGAAAATACGGAATTTTTGTTAGACTTGAATCTGCCTAGCAGTAGATCATGTTTCTGGAATTAAATTCTCTCCAGTCTTTAGCATAACATTTCAAGTGAAAACAATATAACCAATTAAATGGGATTCTAGTATACTGCTCTGATTTATCCTAGGGGATCTCTCTATGTTTATATAGCTAGTATCTTCAAAATTGAGAACATATGTAGAAAACATTTAAAGAATTCCTTAGAAAGCGGATTTTTAGAAAGCCTTATAAAAGAGGGCTCATAATTAACTGAGTATGCATGAGTGTGTGTGTGAACATATATATATGTGCATTTCTGAAACAGTTTTGCAATCTCATAAAAATTTTAAAATAGATAATCCTGTAATACAGTTGAGATTAGAAATAATAAGCCTAAGCACTTTTAAAATATGAGCATCTACTCTTACTGAATTGTAGTTAAGTTTTGCTTTCTAGCCTTGTTCAGTGTGACCTGGTATTCTATTACTGAACATGTTTATTCTGAAGATTCTTGGAGCTCAACGAGATGTTGAATAGAGGGCTGAGTAATATATGACTCCTGTAGTAGGTGTGGAGATATGCTACCCAGATTCCTCTTCCAGAAGGTTTAGTCCAGCTGTGATAAGTGCAGACCAGGTAGCCCTTTCTGCCCCATTTTAGGATCTGCATTAGCTGTAGAGCCACCTAAGGTCATAACCTCCTTGGAGCAGCATGCGTTTGTACACTGAGCAAGGAAGAGGTATAAAGACCTGATCATTTCAGCCAATCACAGCTTCCCACCTGGTTAGGTGAAATTTTGTTGGTCCTGCATCACAGTTTAAATTCTGCCCAAACTTGCTTTCCTCATCTTCCTTTCACAGGTGTTGAGCCCCAATAAACATTGCACCCCAAACACCACCTTATCTATATTGTGGAGAAGCCAATCTGCAATAGCTCCTGATCTCATAGAACTAATATACTGGGAGGAAATAGACATTAAACAAGAAATTTGTAATGTGATCGTAGCATAGGGTGCTATGATAGTGTGTTATAAAAAGAACCTAAGCCTGGTCATGATATTGTTCAGGGTGGTGGCTTAGAACAGTAGTCAGATCTGGGTTAGTGCCAGACTAACTACTTTGAGTAGCATGTAACTTAGATATACTACTTCTTCCTTTCTAAGCCAGTTTTTTCATTTGTAACATGGTAATGACA